CAAGAAATGAAATTGCTAACCTCAGTGGTGGATTTAGCCCCATTTTTTGGCTTATTGGGGATGAAATTTTTCACTAAGGTTAAAAATATAGTAATCTCATGTAGAATAAAGCTCCCATTGGGATGCTCTAATTAAATTTTCCAGAAAAAAACGGAAGGTACAAACAAATTCAAAACCCAAAAAACTGTAGAAAGTTGGAGTCAGACCCACCTTGAAATGTTTTGAAAATTTCCACCACTTTAAAAACCTACCAATTGCAATTCTGCAACAAAAACTATAAGCGTCTCCCAAACGCTGCCTTTAACAAACCGCTGCTTCATTTGATTCCCTCACTCTCTTTTCCCTCCAATCAATTGCTCCGCACGCCCAAAACACTCCAACCCCTCTCTGCTTTCCTTCCTCTCTTCCAGCTTTCGCTGCTAAAATCTGACCTTGCAATCACCGCCATAGCCCGCAAGCTCAAAAGGGTACCCAGATTTCACGCATGAAAGCGGGTTTCTCCCGGAGTTTTGGCCCGACCCTGTTGCTTTGAGCTTCAGATCTTCGCAGCAATGGTTGCAGAGCCTTGGATTTTGAAGATGGGTAACCAGGTAAGCTCCAATCTCAAGCACGCTCTTCTTCTTCATCCTTCGAAGAAATCATCAGTCCCCAAATCCCAACCAACTCAGAAGCAGACCGTCGGCATTCTCTCCTTCGAGGTCGCCAATGTCATGTCCAAGACCGTCCACCTCCACAAGTCCCTTACCGACTCCGAGATCTCGAAGCTCAAAAACGAGATCTTGAAGTCCGAGGGAGTGCTCAACCTGGTCTCTGCCGACGAGGCTTATCTTCTCGAGCTCGCCATGGCGGAGAAACTGGAGGAGCTGAACGGGGTCGCTGCCGTCGTGGGGAGGCTCGGGAAGCGGTGCGTCGAGCCGGCTCTGCAGGGGTTCGAGCATGTCTATGCCGACCTCGTTAATGGGGTTATCGATGTGAAGGAGTTGGGGTTTTTGGTAAAAGACATGGAGGGCATGGTGAGAAAAATGGAGAGGTATGTGAGTGCAACTTCGAATTTGTACAGCGAAATGGAGGTTTTGAATGAGTTGGAACAAGCCACCAAGAAGTTTCAGAACAATCAGCACGAGGAGAGCAAAAGGGCTTTTGAGCAGAAGCTCGTTTGGCAGAAGCAGGATGTCAAGCATCTCAAGGATGTCGCTCTTTGGAACCAAACGTATGATAAAGTTGTGGAATTGCTGGCCAGGACGGTCTGTACGATTTTCGCCACAATTCAGGCTGTTTTTGGTGACTCTGTTTTGTGCAAGGACCGTGTTGGGATGATTGGTGGAGCTTCACCTCCTCCGGTGTCCGGTCAGACTGATGTGAGGAGGGTTTCTCAGGTGGCTTCTGAGCCATTGAAGAGGGTTGCTAGTAGGAAAAATGGGTTGCATTCGGGTCCAGTTGAGAAAGCCGTGGTGTTGAAAAAGGGGTCATCCTTTAAGCCTCAGTTTGATTCGAGGAGAGGAGAATTGGCAGCGTTTCGAGCTGAGGATTTGAATTTTCTGTGTGGAGCAAGCCCCGGGAGGATTTTCATGGACTGCCTAAGAGTGAGCGGTACAGTTGATGATGATTATGGTGGTGCTGGTAATTATGATGACAGGAGTAGCCAAATTTCGGGTTGCAGTGTTGCAAATGGTGGTTTGAAGAGAGAGTTTCCGTACGATTCAGGTTGTTTTAATCGAGCACAAATGAATGTTCAACTTATATCCAAGTGTAGCGGCGCGAATGATGGTGCACGGTTTGGTCCCAAGAGTAAGTTAATGGTTTATACTCCTCCTTCTACTGTGGGGGGCTCTGCTCTAGCTTTACATTATGCAAATGTCATAATTGTTATAGAGAAGTTACTTCGATATCCTTATCTAGTAGGCGAGGAAGCGAGGGATGATTTGTATCATATGTTACCAATGAGTTTAAGGATGGGTCTGAGGACTAATCTCAAGTCCTATGCCAAGAATATGGCCATATATGATGCGCCTCTTGCGCATGATTGGAAGGACACCCTTGACGGGATTTTGAGGTGGCTCGCCCCATTGGCGCACAACATGATCAGATGGCAGAGCGAGCGCAATTTTGAGCAAACGCAGATTTTTATGCGGACAAATGTTCTTCTGCTTCAGACATTGTATTTTGCTGATCGAGAGAAGACAGAGGCAGCTATTTGTAAGCTACTTGTTGGGTTGAACTATATATGCCGTTATGAGCGTCAGCAAAATGCATTACTGGATTGTGCAAGTAGTTTTGATTTTGAAGACTGCATGGAGTGGCAAATGCAATGCGGAGCTTCATGTGTTGATTGACTACGTTATTGGTTTTGAAATCGTGAAGATGGTGGCGGTGATAAGGAATTCATCTTGGTTCCAATCACTTGATAAACACAATAGATGATAGTTCAAGAGGATGTGAATACATCAACTTTTCGCAATTCACACTGAAGACTTTGTCTGCTCAAGACTTGATTGTTGTATTTTGTGCAAGGTATGGGAAGCTTTGACTTGTGAAGTACATAATTCTAATTATTTATGAATAGAAATAGTGTCTTTTGTTGTAGAATTATACATATATTCGTGTAAAGTTAGTAGTTCTTCTTTGATATGGAAGTCTCTATGCACTTTTCCTGCAAGTTATTGTGTTATTCTTGCTAATTTTAATCTCTCAATCACTAAGGGTTCACTCATGCACCTCTCTCGTCACGGTTGTTAGTAGTCATGGCCTCTAAACTGATATTTTTGTGTCAAGAATTACCCGCAGACGCACAATGTATCCTTGTAGAATATATTTGTCATGTTCCCACTCAGTTATGCTAGATTATGTGCTATGTGCCAAAAGATGAACAATAACAAATAAAAGCTTTACGATTGTAAGGAACTTCCTGTGAATCCAAAATGTTGCTTCTGCAGACCTCTGTGTGCGTGTGTGAGAGAGTGGACGGCGAGAGCAAGTCCTATAGGAAAACTTGTGATGATGTCGTTGGGTCTGAAGCACTCCTAAGTTTAAGGTTCAATTTTCTTTTGTACACTGGCTAAAGATTTTATGGACATGATGAGGATGCAAACACATGAACTGTGTAGTGTTTAAGGGATCGTCCATATGCTATCTTAGATTCTCGTTTAAGGAAGATGTCATTTCATGTTGGCTGATGCAATGCTCTCTCTGTAGTTGTCTGGTTTTATAGTTATACAGCTAACATTTGTAAGGAGTTAAGATTTCTTGGTATCTGTTGTTTTCAAGCAATGGATTGAACTCATGTTAAATTGCTGGTGGTAGGGATTGTTCCATACAGATCCAGGATGTCGTGCGCTACAAGTTCCAGTAATCTTTTTAGTGTTTTTCCTGCGTTGAAGATTTGATTGTCTGCGTTTTGTTTCAATTACTAACTTCCTCAGTGCTTTCTAATACATATTATTCCTTCCTTGATCCATGATTTCTCTCGTTCCAAGTAAACACAACCGTTTAAATTTTGAGCATGGTCACTGCATTTCTAAATATTGAACATTAACACTACTTTGAATTTTTACTGTTGTGTTTGACATAATTAAACTGGCAGTTTATTGACCTGGATCCTTATATGCAGATGAGCTTTGCATATATGCATATGCATTAAAGATTTACTCTGAATGGTAAAATTTGTAACAGTTCTACTTTCATCTCTTTCATATCCCTTTCTGGAGTGGTAAATGGGGTAAATAAAACTAGGCATCTGTGATGACATTGGCCTGGATTATTTGAATTAATAACCAGAAAAACAAAGTAAATTAGAAAAGGTTTAAAATTGGGAAGGATTTTGTCAGGGTTGAATAATCAATGTGTATTTACGGCTCCATCCACCGAATGAGGTCGTCTCCGGATCTCTTTGCAAAAATTCCAGAAATCCATAAATTATGTATGTTTATCATACATCACAAAGAGTACCTGATGAAAACTAACAACGCAATGTACAGTAAACGAACACAATTTATAAATTTCCGAGATTCTCACAAAGAGAATCCAGAGAGGATCCTCGTTCCCATCCAACTAGGGTTTGCTTGCTGGGCAGGCAGGATCATGTGGCATTAAACTGGTGGTAGGGGGTTGTAGGAGGTAGAAGAGGGCATTGATTGTCCTATTGAAAGAGCCTTTAATAATTCTAATGGGGTTTCACTTTTTACATCATATTATCTCTGAAAGTTACAAGAGTAATTGGACCTAACAATTTCTTACATGACCGTTAACATGGTATGATAATAACGAATTTCGAGTCAACATGATAACTAATCGAGTCGTTATCAGATCACCTGTAAAGAGTCCGTTATTAATGAGTATACACGTGAGTAACATGTTTCAAGCCCTTAAGAAAAAAGTAAGTTTCATAATTTTTTTATTGGCTAAGCCTCACATTGGAATAGTCATAATAATTTGGTTCAAATTCATCTTTGGTGAGAAAGGAGTCTAGGACATCTTTTACTTACAAGTGAAGAAAAAAACTACTTTAGTCGTAATACTAAGTAGTAGTTTGATAATTTTAAACTACTAAAAAACCTGTTCTAATTACTACAATAGCCATAGTACTTAATCTCCAAAGCACAATAAAAAATTCATAACAATTCATTTACCAGTATGAAAAAAATATGCAAACGGTCGTGATCGCATCCTGTAAGCTTTGATGATGGGTGCATCATCATTTAAATTTTTAGAACACTACAAACCCTCATGAGTAGTGTTTTTAGAAGGAGTTCAAAATAAATAAAAATTCACAATACTTAATGTACAAGTTGAAAAATGTGAAAGAATATATAAACGCTAGTCACTGCATTCTCTATTATTAGATAATGATTATATCGTCGTTTAGATTATTAGAACCCTTCAAACTCTCATAAATAGTTTTCTTGTTCGAGTGCAAGATTAATAAAAGTTCATAATAATGAAGTATTAGTGTGCCGTCCAAAAGAGGGATTTTGGCTATTTTAACCGACTATTTAGCAAAACTTACAAAAACAAATGCAACGGACTGGTCGTTCTTATTCTAACGAAAAACTTAGTATTGTGAACGGTTCCTCGCTAAATCTAGTGAAGAGGAGAGAGCAAGTAAGTGGCTGGCAAAGCTTAAAATACAACATTTGATCCCTCTCTCTTAACATCGTATCAGCGGTGGCGGCGGTGAATTTGCTGCTGCAATGAGTCTGAGGAAGATTAAGAGGGAGAATGAGAACAAAGGAAAGGGAAGATGAAAAAAGAGTTATGGGTAATGAATAGGACCTATTGAAGACTTTCTTCAATGGAGTCCATGCTTTCCAGATCAAAGATCGAACCCCTAATCCGAGCCAAACAAGGTTTTGTGTATTTAAAACTTGTAAGTATTATTTAATAGGAGGAGACTGGGGAGAGAAATCATGAGGGATGAGGGAAGAGGGAAGGCAGATGAACAAAAGAGTTGGTGAAGAGAAAATGGTGGTTGGAGAGAGAGAGAGAGAGAGGAAGATGAGGAAAATAAGGAATTAGGCCCCAAAATTAAGGAAATAACTTGGCTATTCAATGAATGAGGAGTTATTCTTCATTCCACTTTGTTATCGATTCAAGGAACTTCAGACTTATGATTGACATCATTAATATTATAAATTATTTTCATAAATAATCATTTAAATATGAGATTATGTAATTATCAAACTGTATAAAAATGGTGGATCTATCCGCACATCCTTTGTTACCATCCAAAACGACCAAACCCCTCTTAATTTTGATCATTAGATCAAATGAATTGAAAATGATTAAAAAACAGAAATTAACAAGAAGTGTGTAGGCAGTAAAAAAAATGTGTGTGGATAGCTATATACTAAAAAAATATGGACGGATTCGGTAAAAATATTATAAACCGTTTATCTATTTGTTACAGTTACGATCTTAATTTTATCAGGCCACAAAATAAATTGAGGAAGAACTCCTCGTTAATCTAAGGAGCCAAGCTACTATCCATCAAATAAAAGAAGGGCGGGGGGAATGAATAATTACGAGGGATGGATTGTTAAATAATAAATTATTTAGTATTTATTAAATTAGCTAGCAGTCTTGGATATGAACATGTCAAATTGGCTAGCAAAAATTTAACTAGTAATGTTAGAGCATCTTCAAAAGAGATTTCAAAATTTAAACATAAAATTTGAATTTGACAGTCTATGTGGCATTTTGACATCTTTCAAAACTTTACTCATCACTTGGTATGTCAAATTAAATATTATTTTATTACATGATTTTTTTTTCTTTTATTTTATTAAACTATTATTTTATTACCCATTTTGACATCTTTCAAAACCCTTGGATTTCTTCACTTCACACCTTCAGCCATGGAAGCTCTGCAAGTCCCTTACACCCAATTCGAACCCAACACTGATAAAATCAAATGCAACCTCACCAAGAAAGGCTTCTCTCCCGCAAGTCCCTCACACCCAATTCGAACCCGACATTGATACAATCAAATGCAACCTGCAGAACGGGGTTGATGACGTCTCTCAGAGATGCCCGATTATTTCTCCGGCAAAGGCAGTCGTCCAGTCGATGCCCAAGCCCAGATTCATGTCAAACAGATGGATCTCCGGCAGCTAGGAAGATGGGGAACGAAGCGACAACGTAGTTTGCAGCGGGGCTACTGCTTTCTGGTTGATCCGCAGGGATCTGGACTGTTAAGATTCGGAGAGGATCTTAACCCTTCTTGGTTTGCCTTCAGTTTCAACGTTTCCCATAAAAAAATATTTGAAGCTGCTATCAAATTTGACACCAACCTCTTTGCTGCCAATCTATGTTAGCGTCACATAGGAATTAGTATTTCGGTTGAAGAATATTAGTGTAGTCTTTTATTACTATTATTGTCACGCCCCGATCTCGACATACATTCAGGATCGACATGTGACGTCACCAACTACCCGTATTTCTAACATACCTCACCTCCGGGAAATGGCAAAACACAACTTAAGAGCCACTTGCGCAATAATTCTTCATAGACTTTATGGTTGCATCTAACATCCTCGTTAAACTGCCTACGTATCCTAAATAGGGATCAAGCCATTCATAGTTCATTATTTCACTACACTCGAATATTCATCACATAAATCGCTATGTCCCAACAATATACCACAATGCATATCATGCAATATTTCAAAGAACAAACGATGAAGCACAATCATATTCTCTAGCCATATTTATCTACAAGTCTAATCATAACAATAACAATGATATCCAACATAACAATCCCACATGATGATTAACATTTCCACTTCATCCATCACATAAATCATCATGTTTCCCACATAGAATCACAATTCATAGCGTGTAACATCTTAAAGAATTAACAATGCACAATATTATTCTCTAGAACATTGATCAACTAAAATAATCATAATAATAACACTCATATCCAGCGTCATCCCACAATCACTTGAAGTAACCAATTCCATGAATCAAGGAGGCACAAAATTCACATTTAATTACGTTAATCAGTCAACAAGATCACGCATCAATGCATGAAATTTAATACACAAATTCTACATAATTCCTTGCCTGGATTCCAAGTAATAACATGGCAATTCTAATTTATAGACATAACGTCTACTGTGAGCAATTCCTACTCACTCGAACATAGGGTCGAACTAACTTTATGGAAATGAACAAGAGCAAGGATTTCAGACCAGTCAACGGAATCCAAAATATCTAGCGTTTCTCGTAGTCTACCCAAATCTATCACATGTATAATTAGTGCCTACATTAGGGGAATGGTGCACTGGCCAACCAAAACTCGAATAAACTATGAAGCACGGGCGAGTGACAATTATACAAGTATGTGATATTCAATAAAAGAAAGACCATCGATCATTGTTTATAAACCTCAAATATAAGTTCGTAAATATGAAAACATAGTCAAGTCTCTAACAACTCCGAAGGAGTCACCCAAATATCCAACGGCTTTTCCCATTCAAACCACCAAGATTCTCAAAAACCATTGTTTATATGTGGCCCAAAAATGGAAGTCGGATGAAGGAGATGTGGCCGGGTCAAAAATGATCATTTGTGGGTCAAAAATGATCCAACTCGAGTCTTTCTCCTTTCCCCTCCTTGCTCTCCCTATGATTGGGTTGCTCCTCTCCTTTTCTCTCCCGCACTCTCTCCTTTCTCCCCTCTCCCTTGCTGCCACTTGGCAGCTTCTAAACATTTATTTATTTATTTCCCAACAACTAAAATGTCTCTAATTTCTTCGTTATAATTCCATTTCACATACGGTTTTCGCCTACGCGTTCATGAGATCGAGCTCTGTTAAAAAATATAAATTATAACCTCAAAAGGTCTACGGGATTTAAATAATTAATTTCGAAACTTCTAACCTCATAACTAGTTTAATTAAAACCTAAATTAAAATAAATTAATATAAATTCCTGAAAAATAATATAAAATCTCAATAATATAAATACGTAGATTATAACAGTGAAATCAAGGAACAAGATTTCATAGTTATAGTTTATATGGACATTTTGACATCTCCTTTGGAGATACTCTTAGAGATGCTTGGGAGTCGGGCCTTTTCTGTTTTTATTATAGATTTTAGACAAAAAGCACGTGGATAATTTTAGGAACGTGTCTTAAAGGAAGCCTTTAAGGGAAGAGAACCCCATTTAAAAAAGAAAAAGAAAAGGGGATTAGTTGTGGGGTCCACACTACATCAAACTTTAACGATTTGAAACATCTATTTTTCAAGTTACATTTCATAGATCATCCTTACAAAATATTAGCAAAATCGAAAATAATTAAGACATCTAATTGGGTTCAAAAAAATTAACGAATACTTTGTATATAAGAAATAATGAAATTTTGTTTTGATAATTAAATAGGCAAATGATTTTGGATTGAATTGAATTTTTGTAAGGATGATCTATGAATCGAGACTTACAAAATAGATGTTCGGATTGTTAAAGTTTGATGTGGAGTGGACCCACACCTAATCCCCATTGTTTTGATAAAAATGAGGATTCCTTTGCATAAAAGGCCTGATGTCTTAAATATATTGTTCTAAGTGTTAGGGTACCTTGTTAAAAAAGAAGTGTTAGGATACTTTTTTTCTTATGTCAGAGGTTTTGTCCCACTAAAATTTCCCAAAACAGTGTTTAAATTAGCCAACAAATAGTTCTCCTTCATCTTTTGTATATTTTTACAGTTTAATGATATGTAGTTAATTAGTTCAAGGTACTAATGGATGACTGCCTTTCTTTTGTGTTTCTAATGTCTCATAAGTAACAAAATAATGAAATAAGAAAAACTGAAGCAATCCACATAGATAAATCTGATTCAATCCACCGTTGACGCTGATCCACTGGATGTTGCGGAAAACTCCCCTTGCTATTTTTTTCGGGTCGACTAAAATTTTAAAATTTGTAAATTGCGGAAGCACGCGTAGAAAAACTAATATAACATTATAAGCAATATTAAATAAGGAATTGTTATTAGCACTCCAAAAATCTCATTTTGCACTCCAAATTTTCTATAATTAGACAGAAAAATACACTTGTGAGGAGTGCAAAATTAGAAATATTCTTAAATTAAACAACGAATAAAAAGAAAATTCTAGATTAAAGTTGTTATATAAAACTATGTATTAATAATGTTTTAAATGTAAGATTAAACTTATCAAAAACATAAGTTAAGAGATTAAGCTCATGAATCACAATTCGATTAACACAATAACAAACTAACCCATAGAAGCAGTAGAAGAAGAAGCCAAAGTAGATTCTATACAATGCACCTTCTTCTCTCTTGCAAAACCAAAAGTACTCAAACTAACAATAGGTCTTAGTTCAATATTGAGCGTATGTTACTATGTTTTGTGAAAGCAGAGACCATTATCTATATTGAAACAATCCTTGTGATTTTCCTATTAAAATCAGCATAGGAAACATACACACTTAACTATCAAGACATTTTCATACTGATTAGGATAACTTTAAACTCTATAGCAAGACCTTTCCATACCAATTGAAACACTATAGTTGGTTTCTAGCACTCACAATCATACTCATATTCTAACATTCTCTCACTTGAGTATGACAAGTGCTTGAAACACAACTAATCAAATTATTACAGAAGTGATCACATAAGTCTTGTACGAAAAGTAATTTATCACATACAATTTATCCATACATTTCAAAACCCCGATGCTACATAATGCATAATTGGTTCAAGATTACTGATGTCCAATATAACAATGTGAACTCACTTATAGGCAAATCAAAATATGTGCTCCCACTCATTTGGCCAAACTTAACAACACTTAAGCTTCAATTAACAACAAATTCTGCTAACTTCCACACTACTCGAACACAATGAGTAATAAAGTAATAATTCAACCAATTTCTTAATCAAACCACAAGTTGATTTATAAGCATCAAAATGAATTACAACTTCACAAGAGACATCAACCAACAATACTTAGTTCCAATCATCTCATTGCTC